ATTTGAGTGCACAGTAGACAAAGAGACCAACCACTGGGCCCGGCCCTTTGAGTCTCCGCTGCTCTCCAGCAAAACAAAGCTTCATTCACAGCGTGTGTGAGGAGAAAGGGCTTTCATCTCTGTGTATGTTTAGACAGAAGTCACTGGAACGCAGGGCAGAGAACAGTGAAGCGTCACACCAGAACCCACTGAATCTCACACCATAACATCACACCACAGCACCGGAGCATCACAGATAATAAGGAAAGTAGATTAAAAAAAAAGATAAACATTACGTTATGCAAGTTTTTCAATTCCTGAGAATTTCAGTTCTCTTTTTTTATGGTTTGAAGCCAATAGGAAATTTTGATTGCTGATTTCCGAAACAGTCATAAGATAGATCTGACTTGTCATGAGACATTTAACAGGATAGGAAAGCAAAACAACATGTTTTTGCTTCAAAAGTCTTTAAGTTTGTGTTAAATGTTTGTGTTTTTTTAGGAATTACTAGACAATTTTGCCTCTTCAGGCCTCTAAAGTCGCAAGTAGACCTACTGTAGCTCTGTTTTAAGGCCGGGTAAGTATATTTGTATAGCACCTTTCAACAAGAGGTTAATGCTTTACATACGATATAATAAAAGCACAAGTTGATGCAAGAATACAATTTTAGATAGGACTTACAATTAATTAAATGAAATAGAAGATTATTCCCAATTTAATGTACAGGCAGTACAAGTTTTCTGGTGGGTTGTTCCAGATATGCACATGTGTATAAGAACTGAATGCTGATTCTCCACATTTTGTTTTGAGCCTGTCGACAGTAAACAGACCACGACCTGAGTTCGTGACATAGCAGAATATCAGATATGCATTTGGCCCTAAACCATTCAGCGCTTTATAAACCAGCAGTATTGAGGGGTTTCCAAATAAAAACGTTTGGGAGCCACTGGTTTATTGGATATATTCTACTCTACCCCTTAAGTACAAGCCTGTTTTTCTTCACCTTTCCACTGTGTCATTCTTTCTCTCTCACATACACATGCACATTAATACATCTTGCTACATGCTTCATCTCTTCTCCTCAAAAGGATGGGATGCAGCCCCACCCAGCATTCTTTACACATTGGTTCATTGTTTGTTTAAATCCCACACAGTCACAAAGCAGGGTGTGTGTCGACGGGTGAGAGACGAAGGGTTAGAAGAGAGAGCGATCAGGGTGGGACATGTTATTACAACTTATCATCAATCAGACTGCACGGTAGCCAGTGGGATTACTGTTCCCTGTTTGGCCTGGAGTGTGGCAAGACTGATCTCACCACAAGAAAGTTCATGTTGTGTAGCAGGAGCATGTTGAGAAAAACAAGGCTGACTGTGGTGTAGAGTTGGCGATATGACAGCATAATATCTTACTGCATTATAAAAGAAACTGAGCACAGTAACAATTTTGCTACATCATTAACATCACATCTGAGATTTTAAACAATTTATTTATTTAGTAATCTGTCGTACTGTAGTTTAAATCAGTTAGCATTTGCTTCTACATATTAGTAGCAATTTTTATGTATCAACAATTCCTGAATATTATACATTATTTTGTTTTATATATATAATATAATATGTAATATGTATGACATTTTGTCATGTTGGAATTGTGGTGCAATAATATGGTCCTTTTTGGTATAATATGCTTGCTGTACCACTTAAGCCAGCAGCTCTGAAACACACCAAAAACTGAGAACCTGAAGTGGAAAAACATTCCTGAACTGGATCAAGTTGATGAATCATTTAGAAGCTGTCCGGTTCATTGTTTTCATAATTTATGGCATAAGCACAGAGCAGTGACAAATCAGTTATTTTCACTAATCACACTCTCATCAGGTATTTTCCAAGAAAAATGTGATTTGAAGCCTTAATGGGCCTCCATAGCACATCCAATTTTTATTTGCATAATTACCTTTAAATTGTGTTGGTATAATGAGATAATGTAATTCTCTGCTCCAGTTTGGAATTCCTCAATGGAGACAAAAGAGCCAGTCGGCGATAAGAAATGTTAAAGATGATATCTTCTCGTTCATTTGCAGAGCGAATCAGCTTTTTCATGATGGTTGTATTAGCAGCACAGACACACATAAAAAAAGGCCAGGGCACAGTACAGAGACGGGCGGTGATTGGATGCACTCCACTCTTGGAATAGTTGTGGCTTCAGGGTCAGTTGTATCTGCAGTATTTTTCTTTGCTGAGTTCCTGTATCTACCAGCGATGGCGAAGATTTCAGGAATCACTGTGTTGTTAGAGCAGGAGTGTCTGGCTGCTCTGTTGCCGTGGACACCGTCTCTAGCTGCTCCTCAAGGCCGCTGATGTCACAATAACAGCCACAAACATGATGTGAAAGGGGCGAAGTCTTCCTCCTCCTCCTCCTC